GAAGATGATGGAGCAGGTGCTGACAGGAGAGCCCTGCACCTCCATCAGGAGGAGAAGCATCAAGACGTACAGACAGATAGTGGAGGAGAAGTATGTGAAATGATGGGGTTGCTGTTTCTACAACACTGGGTATTGTTTAGAGCAGAAAACTCAATGTCTCGCCTGGTTCCTGGTAGAGGGCGGATAGTGATTCTGACTGGATTTCAATTCAAGAGGATTTCCACCGAGAAAAGTGAAGAAGTAAAGACAGGAAAGACTTACAATTTAGATTGTTAGCCTTAAGTATTGATTGGTCTTAAATGGAATTCCTCCCTTTTACAGGAACAATTATTGAGAAAGTTGCTCTTGCATTTTTTTTCATCATCATCAATTTGAAAACATTTGGTTAACCCTTTTGAACACCTCTGTTCTCCGTCATTACTACAGGGAGCGTCGAGAAGAGGAGCTGCGGGAGGCCTACAGGAGAGCCAGAACCCAAGAGGAGGCGTCGGCCGTCCTCCAGCGTTACGCCCAGCGCTTCTCCATCAGTGAAGCTGTCCTGGAAAGCTTGCAGCTGCCAAAGCTCTTAGACCGCAGCATATCCGCCGACCCTTCCTTCCCCGGCTCTCCATTTCCTCTCTCCCTCACCGCCTCCCCAACGACCCCAGACCCTTTTGACGAGGACCCGAACGGGCCCTTAAGGTTCCTGCGTCAACAGTCGGCTCCCGCTCCTTCACCGAAGTTCACGTCCACGCTGGAGGCGCGGATCGAGGAGTTTCCCAAAGACTTCCAGCCCTCGCAGCCACGACCTCAGATACGATCCCGCTCGTCTGAACCGCCGTCCTCTCGCACACTGTCACCCAAACCGGTGCCTTTGCTGATGCCAAAGCCTTATTTTGAGTCCACCGTCAGAGACGTGAGTGAGACGTTGGGCAACAGGGTGAGTTCCAGCATGTCGTTCTATCAGTGTCAGACAGGATTTGGAAAATCCTCCCCTGCAGTAAGAATGAATGCATCAGTGTAGCTCTAAGACTTTGGATTGACTCGTCCAAATACCATGTGGGTCAGATCCTGGTTGGATGTTTGGTTGTCATGGTGAGTTGTGACCTGATTTAAAAGAGTCTAAAAATATCCAACAGTTTCTTCTTTAACGCTGTGATGAGAAAATGTATCTTTCAGGATCCTAGATAAGTGATATCCAATCTTTGAAATTTACACTATGATGTTAATGTTTTTAAATGATATTTGTATTGTCTTTGGTTACGTATGATAATTGAATCAAAGACACAAAATGAAGACATCTTTTTACAAAATTTAGAATGGAGATAATTTAAGGCAGACAATGAAAATACACAGAGATACACAAGGCAAGATTGGGCAAAATGACTGTTGACAATGTATTATTCACCAAAATATTACTAAAAGAATAAAGAAAAAAAA